TAGTTTAGTTTAAGAACATAGCAGCATTAAATAGAAGAACTAAAGGGATTTCTGCACAAGAAAGAGCCCAGTGTTTGAGGCACCAACAGTATAGGACAGAGYATAGTATGGCTGCTTTCTTTACAGACCAGCTTCCCCTTTGGATATTTTAGGAACTAGGCCATGAAGAGAAAGGCCTGTCTGTTAGAGGACACGACTGAGCATGTTGCCCGCGCCTCGGCTGACTGAATGAGCTGCCGCGCTCAGCACAAACATGGATTTGTTTGGCCGAGCCGCGTTGCTCCACGGAAATCGTTTGGCCTTTGTGGAGAGAGGGGTGGTGTGTGGCGGCACGAGGGGCTCCTGGGGAGGAGGCGGCAAAGACCCGTGAACACACGGGAAGGCCTAAGACTGAGTTTCTGCACGTACAGGGGGCTGTGAGAGCGTGTACRTGAGCATCAGCGGGTGTTCACGTCAATGGGGGGCGAGAAGCAAGGAGGCAGTGAGGTGACATGGGCGCAGGGTTGTATGAGGTTAGGCCTGTACAGGGGGGAAAGGAGATGAGGGATATCCATGAACGCRTTGAAACGGGGCTTCTGGGCAGCACATCAGGATTGCGGAGCAGGTTGGCTGTGCTGGTTCACTGTCTGCTTTGATGGGTCCGGTTAGAGAGGCAGGGGATGGGGAACGTGGCTGAGGCGAATGGTTTTGGAAGCTTCCTCTTGCAGAAGCTGCCTGCCGCACGTCCTCATGCCGAAAGGCCCACACCGGCTCRGAGCAGCGGCAGCTTCTGGCACGCTCCTCGTGGGGTTGCTTCCCTCTGCCYGGGTTGTCCAGCCTCCTCGGCTTCTGCTGTGTCCCCAGCCTCCAGAACAGAAAGCTCCTGTGCCCCATTTCACCCAATTTCCTTGACAGACTTAAGGAGGCACAGCTTGGAGAGGTGATGTTTAGCAGGGCTGCAGCCACAAACCCATGAGCGACCCATGAGTATGTGAAAGGCAAGAACCCCACTGGGAGGAAGGATAGCAAGAGTCCCAGGAAAGATGCTGTGGGATGAAGAGAGCGCTTTGCCCTTATTGGAATACGTCCTAACCAACCTGTCGGAAAAACAGACAGGGGACAGTCCTTCCCAGTGAGAAAGGCTTGTCAGGAGAGTCAGGGTTTCATCGCTGCATAACGTGCTCAGCGCAACTGTCTTCTGTTAATAGGAACAGAGGTTGCTCGCCAGGAGTTGGCATTGCCTCCGCTCACCTAATTGACTATGTTCGTTGTTATCTCTATCAAAGAGCATCGCTCAATCCTTCTCCCCTCCCACTTCGATAAGCTGAGTAGTGACAACCATCAGCCTCCTGCCAAAGCTGCCTCCTGAGTGGAAACATTTGTGGATTTGCTCCGTGTGTAAAGATCTGCTCCTGCTTTCCCCCTACCCCTGCTTTGCCTTAGAGGTTAGAGTTAATATGACTCACCTAATCTGCCTGCCAAGGTGAATTAGTGAAAACATCTCTACGGCTCTGTGCAAGATATCACAACCTGACATTTTTCTAACACACTATGGTACATCTCTTCTCTCTCTGATCAGTTCTGTGACACCTCAATTTTATAGTAATGCTCTTTTTTTAGAAATGGTTAATGTACTTTTATAGGATGCAGGGCTGCAAGCGAAAGGGTGTGACGTGCAAATGAGAGTAACTGAGTTTACAGAGCAAAATATTGCTGCTGGGGTTGAAATACGGCTCACTGGTGCAGGAACAAGAACAGTGCTAGCACTATTTTAGCAAGAGATTGCCACAGGAACTGTTCCCGAAGTGATATGCTTATATGTGTTTCTTGTGGCAGGGAGAAATGACAGGCTGAATAGGCCTATTGATATCTTTGATATGGCCTTTAAAACAGAGGCCCTTGCTTCACCCATCCCCAGAGACCCACTGGACAAGCCAGTGGCTTCATCATCCCCTCGCTGTTGGTGAGGGTGGTATAGGGCTGCTCAAACCCACCCTGGTGGACACGGCACACATGCACCTCAAGTGCATGGACATGTGTAGAGGACCTGAAAAATATCTTCCCTTAGGAAAGTATAAACCCTTTTAGGGTGCTTTCTGGAGTCCCCTTGATGTGGTTCTCTGAGAGACAGGCTTAACAGYACCCTTAATGAGGGTGCCACTCCATTAGAGCGGGGAAGTCACCCTCAACCCTCTTTTCATTACAGTGACGGACTGGTGACAAGGGCAAATTGCAGGAGAAGCRAGTACCACTTGGAATGAACCCTGTGCATAAACAAGGCAGAATGGCAGGGAAAGTGATTTGCAAAGCACAGGCAAATTATGTTTTAACCTTTTCTTTATAAGCCTTTCCCTGCTGTCTGATTACTTTGCAGTCAGCTGGCTGACCTGCAACTGGGAGTGCTGCCATAAGGGAAGGGGGACTGTGGGTTGTAGGCTGCAGCTGGGGGTGATGTGTTCAAGAAGCTCTAGAGTAAGTTATGAAAAGATCAGGGGATTAAAGCCTGTCCCAACCAAGTATGAACAATCCTATGGGTCAACCACAGGGAATTTGTCTGTATAGACAGCAGCCCAGTGCATAAGTTGGGATGCAGCCTGTCCTCTCTATTCGGTCATCGTAGAAGAGCTTGTCTGAAATTTGTGCTCGATCTGGGGTATTGAAAAAATGAGAAACAGTTTTGAAAATGTGAACTAGACAAAGAGGTCTAAAACAAAATAATAAGAGTGATCAAAGGTATAGAAAACGTCACCTACAGAGTGAAGTTGAAAGACCTGGCACTATTCATCAAAAAGAAAAGAAAAAAAAAGGACCAAAAAAAAAAAAAAAAAAAAAAGGACGCCTACTGAAGGAGGAACATAACTGATTTAAAGTTGATAAAAAGCTATTGCAGAGAAGGAGGGAATGATTTGTTCTTTATGTTCTGTAGTGGCTAAGACAAAAATAATGGCTTTAAAACACAGCGAGGAAGATTCAGGTCACACTTTAGGAAAACTGTTYAAACCCTAAAAGTAAAGCACTAGAATGTGGGGCCTGAAACTCTGCTCCTGCCGAAGCGAAAGAACAGATTCCCAAACCTGCTGCCAGGCATGGAGTCACATCCATAAAGAGCACCTATACAAATCCAGCACTACATCTTCCCCTACAGCCTCTCGCCATGTTCCCCGTGGTCCGAGACCCAGGGCACAGCGAAAGGTTGGGAGTGTGTCCGGGGAGCACTGGATGTGCAGCAGGAGGCAGCTTTGCCTCCCCGCCGTGTGAGAAGCGCTGCTGCCACACGGCAGGGCCGGTTGCCAGACTGCTGGGGGATATGAAAACCCGCATCAGAGCAGCTGTAAATTTTAGGCAATGGGATTTTGACTCACCCAAACATCTGGTAGAAGCTGCGAAAGGAATTGCTGGATTGCCCTGCTGGAAAAAAAAAAAAAAAAGGAGAGGGTGGAGGGGTGGGGAAGGCTTCTCTTTGCATGATAATCAGTACAGTGCTGTTTTCATGCTGAGCTTCCATGGCTGGGGATGTTTTTCCCCAAGGACAATTCTGAAAGTTGCCTGAAGGAAAAAAAAAAAAAAAAAAAAAAGGCCAAAATGGCTGTTTAAGGGACAGAGTTGTCAGCAGATTTTGAAGTTCTTGAAGTCCCTATCCCTGATGCCGAAGGCGAACTCATGCAGCTGGCATCCCCAGTGAGTGTGGCCAGCCTGGCCTGGCTAATATGCTTCACAAACCTGTGCCCGTGTTCAGGGAATAATGCTGACATTTCAGGTAGCACCATGGGAACTTGTGCTCCTCAGAGCCAAGGAGCAGTGCAGTTCCGACAGCCGCTATCCGAACTCCATCAAGCAACTTAAGCACTTACTTAGGTGAAATGGCCAGAATTTCGGAAGTGATTAGTGCTGACTGAACAGAAAATATCTTTTGGGCAGGGAGTTTCCTTGGAAAATTTAACTGCTGTCTTAGGAGCATGAATGAGAGCCCTTCTGTGCTCACCACTTTTGGAAAAAGAACAGTCCTTATCCTTTAGGAGTTGGGGGGCAGTTTGTCTGCACATGCAGAGGGAAGCAATTACAGCTTGTGCTGTGCATGCTGCCAAGCGATGCCTGCAGCCCTCTCAGGGGAGCAAAGAATCTCCCATCTAACATAGTTCATAGTCTTCCCAGGAAAAGCCACAGTCTGGTTTCCAAAGGAATAGCTTTGGATATACTAATCCTAATATTTTATGCTTCCCTGGCACCTTTCATCCAAAGATTCTAATGTGTTTTACATACATTAACCTCCCTACCCTTTTCTGACCAGCAGGTGAGAGGAGAGCAGGGTTATTAGCCACAATTTACAGAGGGAGAGCGATGGAGTGACTCACCCAAGGTCGTACAGTGAATTAAAAGCAAGGCCACAAACCTCCCCTGACTTCTGCCCCTGGCTGTAACCCTGATGCTCAAGTCACTGCTTTCAAAACTGTGTTAGAGAGGCAGCGCAATTCAAATGTGACATTTTGTATGTACAGTAGATCAGGGGGTTGTAATGATYATCGGTCTCCGTGGATCAAATTACACTTTGTTTCTCTCAGTTCGTCTATGTTTAACTGCAGCTTCTTCTGATCAATAGTACTTCAGGGTGGCCGTTGCTCTGAGAGGCAGAAAGAAATTGCTCCTAGTTTTGTGTGGCCACAAGATTGCTGTCAGAATACACCATTACGTCTATCAGCTATTCCTGAACCAGCCTGTCAGCCTGAGCTGGGCCTCATGTGGTGGAGATTTTGCTTCTCTGTCTCCCTGTGGGATAAAATACTTTTGTACCACTTTTATGCACAGCAGATTTCAGATTTTCRGACCCTGAGTTTTCCTTAACTAGATAACATGCAAGTATCTTACTGATATGGCTACAGAAGTAACTTCGGTATAGCTCCCCAGATAGCCGTTATTTTCTTTGCAGAACTCCTCTTGGGGTTGTTCCTCTGTGGCAATTAAACAGAAGATTCCCTAAATCTAGGTGCCTAACCAAACCACTATCTGCATTTTTTTTGTCCTAGCAGGCAGAGAGTTTGAAGGTGAGGAAGAGTACCTGGAGATCCTGGGAATCACACGAGAGCAATCGGGCAAGTAYGAATGCAAAGCTGCCAATGAGGTTGCTTCAGCAGACGTCAAGCAAGTCCGGGTCACTGTGAACTGTGAGTACATTGCAACTGGAGTGGGTCTATGGGGAGAGCTTTGCATATGAGTAGGGCTGACATTCAGAAAAGAAGCCTTTTACAAGTTCATATAATATCACCTGGAATGTGGCGGGGGGATTCAGGAAACTATCTGAAAGCAGAGATTTATTCCAGGATTGCTTGTGCATTGAACTTGGTAATATCTATGAAAGAAAGGGGAAAGAGGGAGAGAGAGGTAGGGAAAAAGAGAAAAATTGTGAGCTACCCCTTTCTCTCCTCTCTGAAATGCTAGTGATGCCTTGTTTTTGTTCACTGATATTCAGGAGAACGGTAGCTTGAAGAGAAGCTGCAACATAGCAGCAGGAATAGATAACAGTTCAGCCAGCTCAGAGCAAACACACACCTGYCTGCACTCCATCATGTAGGCAGGGCTTACCTGGGTGGGTATCACATCCTAGCAGTGTGGAGGAACRTGCATTACAGGTATCCACTTAATGGGAGGGTGCAAAAGCTTTCTTTTCCTTCTGCTTTTAGGTTATTAGCGTAAAGTTCTCACTAAGAGAGATTGCCAGTGCACCTATGTGATACAGAAATTGTCTTAACCAGCGTAGGTTTTGGTTAAGATGTGAACTGTCCACATAAAAATGCTTACAGACACAATTTGATTATGTGACTGACCTCTACACCCCACACTCATAGCATCGTATGAATCTGAACCCTGTGTTACTCTAGTGATTGGGTCATGAATGGATGGCATTGCAGGTACATGCATAGGCACATATCTGCTTTGACACTGCAGGCATGCTCTTCTGACAGTAACTCAACATATTCCAGACTGCTTTCACTCCTACAACACTATATGTTTGTATGTCCACCTCAGTATAGATATCCCTAGCTTCCCGCTCTGTTTCCTTGCTGGTGGCTACTGCCTCTATAGCAGGAATGGATGAATGGAAGGTGCATCTTCTCCTGACTTGCTTAGCTTACACACTAGAATATCAATCTAAGCTTAAATTGGAGATGATAAACATATAGAAGGTAAACAGACATGGCTGTACACCCTTGATTAAAGGGTAGCAATTTCTGAGAGCAGAAAGCTGATAGCAAGAAGTCTTTCAGCCGATCCCAGTCTAATTCACCACGTCATGTTATTTTAGCACCTTTTTATACCATTCTTRCTTCTCTTCTCTTTCCCGTTGAGCTTTAAGATCTGATCAATACATGTCTTGCTTAGAAGTAGGGGTTACTGGCATGACTTTTGGGCTCCCTTCAGCATCTTCAGAATCAACAATCTTGGTTAGAATTGTCTTAGAAATTGTATGGTGGTTGTTTAATAAAGGCGGCTTTTTGGGCCACATTCTGCCATTGATATGACTTTGACACTCCAGATTAATTCCCCATGTTAAACAGATGCATTTGGCTTTATGCATTTATCCACTCAATGCAAATGAAAACAAGGCCTAGCAGCAGATTTTCTGAACTAAAGCTATTGAAGTTCTCTTCTGTCAAAAACAGCTGAGTTTATAAACCTCAGACATTCAATAAGAAGCAATTAATATTTCCAAATATTTCTGTGAARCATATTTTACATTATGAATTTAACATAATTGAAACAGATTGTCTGTATAAAGTCAGAATGTTTGCTTTTGACTTTCTTTCAACTCCTGATAACTATGCTATACAAAGATTTTAAACATTTTTACTGTGATATCATAATATAATATGATATAGTATCATAACATTAGAACRTGACGGGAATCTGAATGTGAACAAATGATAATTTCCTTCAGGACAAATCTTTTACTTCTGAAGAAAGTGAAAAACTGAGATCATGAGGGCCATGCACAGGGAAAAAAAATCAGTCCTTTTGAGGGAATGACAGCTAGACATTTGCATACATCTTTCTGTATCTTGCTTTCCTAAACAACACCATAAGGAGGTGAAATTGTGAGAATTACAGTAGTCTTGAAAAATCAGACCTGCCCAACCTCACCATCTTCTTGGCCATTTCTTATCAATCTTATGAACCACTTCACTGTGGAGCGTGCAGCTTGTCAGCTCTGACTGCAGCAGAAAGCATCCTCATCTCTCTGCTTTGGTCTACATCACCATCTTGAGGCTTTGTGAGTAATGGCCATTTCGCATTACAGATCAGGAAACTGAGGCCCAGAGAAGATTTGARAGCCCTAAGGACAACCCACGCCTGGCTTCTCCCACGGCATGCAACTAAACATGGAGGAGCTGCTTTCTGAAAACACTATATTAATTTGTGCAGGGCCCCCAGCTGTGCCTTAGCACTTCCTGTGAAGGAGTGCTGCAGTGTGGCGACTGCTCTTTGCTGGGCACTCACTGTCATCAGGGACAGTGAGACCTTAATGAGGAAGGTAGCTGCCGAGGTTGTCCTGTGCATCCACGTGGGCTGTTTTCTTTAGAAAGCCTTTAGAAGGGACTGTGGCTACTATGGGGACTGCTGAAAATGAGAGGCTGAGCTTGCTGGTGGGAAGCAGGGAGTGGATGCTAAGGGAACTGGCCTAGTGCTGTCATCTTCTAGCCCCATAGAAAGGTATTTGCTCTTTCCATGACACATCTCATGGATTCACTGAAGTGGAAAAGGGTTGTCTCGCTGCAGCTGACAAGAGATACGCTCCTTGAACAAAAAAAGAAAATCCGGGAAGGATGCTTAAAAAAATCACCTTCACTATCCTTTTATTACCCCTCCTCCTTCCTAAATTAAAATATTTACTTGAACCCATAGCCTTTGAATGTAGGTTCCTATTTATGTACGCTTATTAATATTTATGATGTTAGAGGGCGCACTGCAATATCCCTAAAGTCCTGCATAAAATCGTGATTAAGGTCAGGAAAACGCTAACACTGAGATGGTTAATGTGTTCACAACAAACTTCCTTTCCATATATTTTCCAGACTGAAGTATTTTTTCTTTAACTGACATGATCCAGTTAGATGTTTTTTTCTTTTTTGCTTTTCAATGCCAGATACAAGAGAAGGAGCTTTACTCTGTAAACACAGTGTGCTTTATGCTGACTTGAGTCTCAGCAGAGTAGCCATCTGAGATACCATCCCAGAATCTCAGACTCTTCAGGTACTAGCGATGATAGATAAGACACTTATTCTCTGATTCCTGTCAGCAGCCAGGTGGACATGGTTCTGCCTTTTAACCCGTAAAGCTTGTCGCTTAACATTTTTAACATGGGGCTGAGAGTGAAGGCACCCGAGCTTGCCCTGCCTGGCACTCATCCAGCATTGAGAACCAGCTCCAGCAGAGCTTACTGATACCTCTCCCAAGTTTTGTTTGTCCATACCACAACTCTCAGGCTTCAGATTAACCAGGGGATGAGAGCACCATGCTGTGCTGAGGACAGGCTTCATGCACCGTGATCACAAACAAATCCTACTGGAGCTTGTGACAAAGCAAAATGTTCAGGAAGGTTTGGGCAGAACTTGTATCCCTAGATACCTGAGATAGGCATATAAATAAGTGGTCTGGTTTTTGGAGGCATTGATCACCCATATCTCCCGCTAAAGTCCTTTCATTTTAGCCATGAATATATTTCTGCCTCATATATGTGTCCTTGGTCCTTTCATTTCTTATTATAGTTCTGATATTAGACACAAAGGTTGTACTGAGGATGTTTTTTCACAGTAATGTTTAATTCCTAGCTTCTTCCATTTACTTCTGCTTTCTTGCTTTTTCCCTTGATGAAATTTTTCCTTCATCTTCTTCTCTCTGATGAACCTGTATGAACTATGGATGCACAAGTAAATACTCAGAAACTACAGAAGGCCATCCTTAACCTTAACCCTGCTTGCTTATACCTGTGTATTTATCACATAAGCCTTATTCAGTGCCTCTGTGAAGAAGCATGAGTAAAGAGTGGTGCTAATGTACTGTATTAGGGAGAGTTCAAAGAGCAGGTATGCTCCAGAGGCAGAGGAGAGTGAGTCACAGAAAGCAGCAACTGTGCGCCTCCATCAGCCCAAAGGGTTCACATGGGAGAGCCAGATGTAGTTTCACTGTTTCCTTCTGCCTGCAAATGTGTGAAATGAAGTGTTTCTTTCCTGCAGACCCTCCTACTATCACAGAGTCCAAGAGCAACGAAGCGGCCACAGGACGACAAGCCTTACTCCGGTGTGAGGCGTCAGCAGTACCCACACCTGATTTTGAGTGGTACAGAGATGACACCAGGTAAGGCCATTAGCTAGCCCCTTCCTTTCTTCCCCATGAAACAGGAAATCCTTAGAGGAGCACCTCTTGTCCTCCTCAACTCGTCTCCTCAAATAAGCTTCTGGTCTAGTCATGGTTGTCCCATTGGCTTAGTCAAAGTCAGCATGTCCAGGGAGGGAGGAAGCAATTCCCCTCTGAGTCAAGACAGCGTTGAGGGTTGGTTTCTTACCTTCAAGTCAGTAATGAACCAATACACAATCAGACATCAAAAATGTTTTCTTCCTGACAAAGTTCATACATTAAGTAGCTCATGATAAAAATACAAAAACAGGCAGTGTTAAGCCTCCAAGTAGTTAACACCACTCTAGCTGCCTTAATCCAGGGGAAGTTGCTGCTGAAATGTAGGACTGTGCCACCTTTGTGACCTGAGCCACCTAGATTTGCATGTGGGCCAAATATGAGAAACAAGGATCTGTCCTTTATACCTGAGCACTTACCTTCTATTACAAAGGTAGCTTTATTAACCTSGTTTCCAAGCTGACCTCTGTGCACAAGCTCAGAGGTGACTTGACTTTTCTACACACATTCATTAGAACACATTAATTAGTGTCCTCTACTAAAAGCCTTTACTCCAAATGCAGGCTAGCTTGCAGCTGACATTTCTAAGTGTCAGCCAGTGCTAGGTAAAGGACTCTTTCCCCCAATTTTTCTCCCTACATGGCTTCTTCTGTGGTCTCCAGTGGCATTTCTCTCCACTGCACTCTTTCTTCTTTCATCCCCTTCTTCTGCCTTCCTTCAACAGTTTCTTTCTTTGGCTGCCTTCTTCTCACCTCTCTTTCCTGCCTCTCCCCATCCTCACCCATCAGCCGGTCTGAACTCTTTTGGTTTACCTTCTGCTGGGTAGTGATTTCCTCCCCAGTGTAACTGCCATTGCACTGCACACCTCTTCTGCTGTCTTCCCAGGATAAACAGCGCCAACGGTCTGGAGATAAAGAGCACGGGGAGCCAGTCTCTGCTGATGGTGGCCAACGTCACTGAAGAACACTATGGGAACTACACCTGCGTGGCTGCCAACAAGCTGGGAGTCACAAATGCCAGTCTATACCTTTACAGTAAGTATGGGAGAGGGGAAAGGGATGTCCAGGTTGTTCTCACAAACACCTGTCTGTGTAGTAAGTACACAGTGACACTGTAACTCAGAACTCAGSAAAACATCTACTTTCCACCCCACTACAAACCACCACCAAGACCTGACTTTCAACACTATGCTTGAGGTACTTGCCTGTTCATAGCCACAGTAAATCTTAAACACAGCCAAATCTAAAAGTTTACAGAGAAACCCTTTGATTGTCTCTTTCTGCTGAAGTCAGGTGTTAAAATAATAAAAACACATTGTTTTAAAGCTGAAAACAAAAACTCCTTTAGAGTGATAGCCCCTTTAATAAGAAGACAAAAAGCTAGGGCTTAGAGGATCCATGACAGCTGAGGAATGAGAAGTGATTCAAGGAGATGGAGAGAACTAGCCACTGAGCCTGAGAAGAACAAGAGAGAGTGAMGAAAAAGAGATGAGTTTGAAAATGGGAGAAAATGGAAGGGGGAAAAAAAAAAGCTGCAAAAAATGGGATAAATTAGGATGATTTAAAAGGACATACCATAAGGAACGTTGGAGAAAAAAGTTAATCAACAAATGAAATATGGAATAAGTACCTTGAATCTCATTATGCTGCTCATAAYCCTCTAATTATTGAGTTTATTGCAGTAAACTTGAACAGATAAAAAATGGGACTATACCAAACTCCAAAATAGAATTACTTGCTAGTTCTAAATTTTACAGCTGATTCAAACCTGGCTCTAAATAAGTGCCAACCCTTCACCTCCCACATATACCCATATAAACTGTGGAGAATTCAAAACCCAGTTCTGGATTCCAAGTCTAAAACTTGGGCTCAAAATTAATTGAACATTGTTATTTGCATTGTTGCATTGTAGGATGCAACAAATGCATTGTTGCATTGTAGGATGCAACAGGATACCTACAATGCATTGTTGCACTGTAGGATGCAACAAAACGAGCCCTCAAATGAATGGTCCTGCAGACACTGAAGTGCATAGTGGGACTATATTCCTGTGACAGTCCCAAACTGAATTAAAGCACCAGGCCATGACTTATATTTAGGACAAAAGATAAGATGTGCAGAACAGACTTATTCTGAGAGACAGTTTCTGCTCTCTGTGGTTAGCCTATTCAAAGCAGGAGTGAAATGGCTACTTTTTTTTTTTTTTTTTTTTTTTTTTTTTTTTTTTTTTTGGTGGATGTCATGCAGAAGGACAAATCCACTGTTATTCTGTCTACCACATCTGGATTTATTTGACTGTGGTTTGAATCTTTGCAAAATTAAAGAGTATTTTACGATTCTTTTCCTCTCTAAAGAATAGATAAGAACATTATCATAAAATAAGGTATCTTTGATTTTCTGTAGCATGAGGCACACAAACAAGGCAAATTTCTACTCTGAATGTTTTTCTCACCCTGGTCTTGTGACTCTCATGAGATTCAAATAAAATCCTCAAGCATCAATCTGGAACACAGTTTTCAAATATTGCAGATTTGTTCTTGCTGATATTAATAATAATGCTAAGTTTAGAATACATAATTTGTGGCKGAATTCTAAATTTGGACCTCTTTATTGGTTGCTCTTGCACAGTTGAGCTGAAATGCATCACTGAGACAAAATATAAGATGAAGCTCTATAATGTATGTATGTGCACGTGATTTTTAGACGAGAGGTTGGTTTTGCTAGAAAAGCACTTTGCATGACTTCAGTACTTCACCTCTAAGGATCTCAAAGGATTTGCTAGCAATGAATATTTTAACATCACAAGTTATTTGGATATGGGTGAGTGTTAGTAGCACCATTTTGCAGTAGTAAACTAAGAAACAGAGTGAAGAAATAATTTAGCTCTGATTAACATTAGTGGCAAGAGATGCCAGGGAGCTCTTGTGAAGCCACCACTGCCAATTCCAGGGGAAATATGGCAGCTATTAAAGATGACTTGCAACAAAAATTAATAGTGAGTGGTGCTATTTTGGCTTCCTTCTGGTCTGTATGAAGAAAGCTTTCCTTTTTTCGTGTCATTGGGTTTTGTTCAGCATTTTTACCTTAGACATTGAAGTCTGTTTATGCTGGAAGATGCTAGAAAACTTGTGAAGGAGCAACATCACAAGAGAAAAAAGAACAAAAGCTCAGGAGCTGAGAGAAAAAATATTTGCTGATTTTTGTCAAATTGTTTCAAGCTTTTATTTTTTGTTGCTTAGTTAATCCCAATTTCTTCACAATTCAAAGTGTAGAGAGAGAAAACCATTATGAATATTGTTTCAAGAAATCTCTGTTCTCCTTTTAGTTAGTGTGGAAGAGAGAAAGAAAAAATAACAGGCAGACAAGAGTTGCAATTTCTGAAATTAAAAAAAAAAAAAGAGACATGAGTGAAGGGAATAAACCTTATAAAGGAAGCAGCCCCCCMAAAAAAACCCACCAGCCCATCTGGAAAATGGGCCTGGAAAATGAAAAAAGAATCTGCTTTACGGATCACACAACAGATGAAATAGCAGACAGTGCACACTGGCAGCCACACGCCCTGGCAGGAGGGAAAATCAGCACCAAGCTTTTGCAAGGTACAGCAAATACTCAAATACTTAGAGCGATTTTTCTTCCCTAGAATCAGGTGGACTGAATCAGCAGGGAGGAATTTTATTTCTTTTCTAAATAGAAAACAAGCTTACTGTAGGGCAACATCGCACTGGGGAGGCAGGCACAGTGTTGGTTCCTTGATGCCTCATTGCAGTGAAAAAATAGCAGCGAGTAGTGAAGAAACRACCAGAGAGTTAGTGATGAGGCATCTGTGCCTGAGGTGAAGGGCAAAAGGGGAGCTAGCAAAACGATACGAAAGAATTGTTCAGCAATAGAGAAAAGCGGTCAACTTCCAGGAAATCTCTGTTACCACTGGAAAACTCTGAGAGAGACAGAGTTTCTTAGATACAACTCATCTAATAGCTGACTGCCATCCCTTCATCCCCGCTCACCCTGCCYTTTGCCACATGCTGCCCTTGCTTCCCTTACTCTCGTACTCAGGAATGACCCACTTCATTCTGGGTCATAGTCTCAGTTCAACTGAGACAGTTCAACTAGGAAAAGCATAACCAGGCTCCCCTGCCTCCAAAGTAATCTCTAAACTTTTCTTTTTCTTCAGTGAGCTGAATTAGTTGAGGGAAGGGCTGACCAAGCACTAGAGCCCATGCAAGAGGTGGCACATCTGCATATCAAGAAATGGAAGGCAGGGCCGTGTTTTTCAGCAAAGTGAGCTATTGGTTCAGCTCTGCATAGCCTAGGAACATGGTTTGTAACCCTCACAAGCAGAAAATGCTGTGAGACCTAGGAAAAGGGTAGTAGTTAGTTACATTCTTGGGAAAGAGGATCTCTGTGAAAATTGCCCAGGAGCAAGTTCAAGCAAAGGCTACCATTGCAGAACAACAGAGGTGAAGCATAGTATCTTTAAAAGGAAAGATTTTTTTCTTTTTTTTTTTCTATTTTTTTTTTTGAGTGTATTATGAGGGAAGGAACTTGTTTTCTTTTCCTTACACTAAATTAACAGAATGTTATGGCAAACATTAGGAGCAAAGCCAAATCTTTTACTTCAGTCCATGCTACATCCAAGTATAACTATGTGCACATACACACCAGATAGTTATCTGTCATACAAGCATCTTCCTACATAGGTTTATATGCACATGTGTTTTATATGCATRCACCTGGGCAATGCTCTAAGCACGTACACAGGCACACAGAAATATGGACAGCATCTGCTGCAGTCCAGCAAGGCAGAGAAATGAAAGCCATTCAAAATTACTGGGATTCTGTCTTCTACAGAGCTAGCCCATCCCTGAGGATAAAACAGGAGTCATCTGCTGCAGCTTGCATCTCCGCACCCTCCAGTGAGTAAGGAAATCTGCAGGTGAAGCAGCAGCCAGTGCTGATTAGAAGCAGCAACAGGCGGGCGCCCACCACTGTCTCCTCAAGAGGCTTCAGATACAGTTATCGTTCTAGTCCAGCAGCTACAATCCCAGCAACAAACACATTCTTAGGAATGAGTTGGCACTTGCCTCAAATGCTATTATTTAGTAGTGCCCCAGCACCAGTGCCAGCTCTGTGCACACATTTAGTGCACCCCTTCTCTTACCTCCCTGCCCATGCTTTGTTGCACATGGCTGTTTGCTTATGGTGGCTGCTGCCAGGGTTTGGAGCTTGACCRTGACAGAAATGCAAGGCTCTTGGTGCAAACTCGGGGTGCTCTCAGGGGCTGTCCATAATGGGGGGGACACAGCAGAGGAGAGAAGGTGCTTGGGGTGTCCTCCAGGCAGTGCAAGGCTGAGCAGTGGCCAGTGAGCCTGGGCGGAGCAGTAAAGGCAGCACACAGCAGGGTGGGGGAACCGAGGTAGAGTCCTTGAATAGAAAGCAGCATGATAATGAGGCCGTAGTGCTTTGCTTTAACTGCTTATGCTGTGCAGCCTGCAGCCCGCTGTGCAKGAAGAAGGTAAAGGGGAGTTGAGTTATTTAACCAAACTGAATAACAAGGAAGTCATGTCAGCACAACAGCCTGCTTTCACAGAACAATAGTCCCCTGTTGCTACATAAACATAGAGATCCAGGCTAGCTGTGTATTTTCTAGCAAGAGACAGTCTTCCCCTGTGCCCGCTGTGGATTCAAACAGCTCTATTAGCACCGCGAGGGCAGGAGATCTGCTGTGGCCGCAGGGATGGGATTGACCTGCAGTGTCCTCATGGGCCCTGGCTAGTCAGAAAGCAGCTCCTTGCAGCAAGGGTGCTATATAGAGAGCAGTGGTCTCCAGATGGTTAGGACTAGGTTGACCTGAGAACAATAATGACTACCAATGTGGCCTGCCGAGCACTGTGTCTGTCAGTGGTGATCTTAGTGGTGCTTTCACAGGTAAGCCAGGAGGCAACTTGTTGCTCCAGGCCTATCAGCTTTTGCTTAGTAGCATGTCCATGCAGCTCTATTGACTACACGAAGGCCAGACCCTGAGTAGCAATTTGTCTCAGTCAAGACAGGGTATCCAACAAGCTCCAAAGGTAATGAAGGCAAACTCACTGATTAGAGACAACTCTAGGAGGGGCTTGTACTCCTGGTTCCACTCTTGGTTGTGCAATTCAACATTTAACCCTGGGCAAATTGCTTCTTTGCTCTGTTAATCAACTGCACTATCTGTAAAATGGGATTAACGCTACCTTTTACCTCAGACTGGGGGTTCTGCTTCCTGATTTCACTCAGTGTCTGGGCAATACTTTGAGATCCTGGCATGGAAAAAGCCAAGTATGAAGTCAGCAGTAGCAATTTTCTGCTGTGATGAACAGCAAGGATGCATTGTTAAAAACATATAATCAAGCAGGCCTGCAAAACTGTGTTCTTGTAGGAAGACAAAGGCTTAAAAGAAACACACCACCCGTGAGGCTTCAGCTTGGTGGGTGTTCCCATGTTCACACCAAGGGACCCGTCACTCACAAGAGTCCATTGTGGAGAAGGTTCAGTGGAAGCAGTAGCTGCAGGTGGAGGACTTCCACAGTTCGCCCCTCTGCCAAAGGGCAGCTTCCAGCAGAAGGTGTACCTGAGAGGGGCTCTAGGATGATGGCGTGAGTTTCCTGTGCTCTTTGAAAGCCAGAGGGATGATGTGGCCTATCAACTCCAATTAGCTTCACTGCAAGTGCTGTTGCCTCTTGGTGTGTGGGTATTATTTGTTTAGTTCTTCAATTTACTTCTGTCTGAATCCCAGTCCCAGAGGATATTGATGCGTATTAGGTGTATTGCTAGCAAAATGCTCTGTATAGGAAACCTACTCTAGTTCATCTGCTTTGAGGATGGACAACTTGATCAGGTTTGTAACTGCTGCTTGCTTGGTATGAAAAGTGGCTCATTCCTTTCTCCTGCATGATGCTTATTGTTTTTTTTCCCCCCTTAGAACGAGTTTTACCCACACTCCCCAATCCTTTTCCAGGTCAGTATATGCTTTATGTTAACGTAGCTCTCTAGCCGGGTCATTCTCCATCATCCTGATAAACGCTAAGAGTTAGGGATGGGCAAAACAGTTTATAGTAACATGGGAAAATAAGGGCTGTTCTTTCTCTTCTGCATGTCATTTTCTCCCTTCTCACCTTCCTTTGTCCTTCTCCCTCCCTTTCCACAAAACCAATCAGCTTAACAGAAACAACCTTTAGCCAAGCTTTGAGCCTGTGATATTGCGTTCTCATCCAGGTCTGGACAGTCTTCAGCAAGGTTCAATTTGTCACCAGACACACTCCTAATATATATTCCACTCCCAAGTTATCTTTACTTACATATCTTGATTTGGATGAAAAGAATAAGCAGACCTAAAATCTTGCAGAGGTGGTGGAGGGAACAACTGAGCAGCTAAAAATTAAATTGCTTCCAAGAAGTTTTCATTCCAGTTGTGCAAACTATTCACAGTGAAACACCTTGTTCTGTCATTCCTCTGTCAAACACACCCAGATACATCTGTCACACAGTACTGCATTTGAGGGACACAGCCTGAAAAGAAGCACAAGGTAAAAGTGCATAAGATGGTGAGATGTTACAGAGATTGGTTAATTCCAAAGAGAGAAGCTGTGAAGGAGAGTATTGGGTGTTTTCACATCCCTGCCACATGCTGCCCAAGTATGTCTCAGGTCCAGGCAGCATGGGCGGCACTTGCATGAGATTTGGAGTTTGGATATAACCTTGAGACTCTGAAAGAGTCCAGAGACTCCACAGCTCCAGAATGGAATCTCTTTCCAGGTGTTTGAAGCTAAACTTAAAGGGGTAAGGCAACCAGACCCCTTAGTCACTTAAAAAAATGGTCTCCTACCGCTCCTTCACATCTTTGTTTTACCACCATGCGATGAAGATATCAGTTCTCAAGTCACGAGGATGTTCGGAGTTCTAAATAGTCAATGTCTGCACAGAGCTTTGACATGGAGTGTCATTATGAACCCAGGCTGTTCTGCGAAAGGGCACTTGCCCAAGTACAGCACCTGCAGGTACTGCCATGAAAAGAACAATAAATGCTGGGTGTTACATCAGCTCCATTTAACTACTCTGCTGTTTTCAAATGAAGCTCTGCTCTTGGCAACTTGTTCACGCTCAGGAATTGCCTGTTTAAAAGGCAAATCTGCAAATACAATTAAAGAAAAGTACCTAAAAAAAAAGGGGGGGGGGGGGGGGGAGAGAAGAAATCAAGCTACCATTAAAATTAAATCCCAGAGAGTGATTTGTAAATAACATTCAAGGAGCTGAGCAAAGTAGTAAAGTAGACCATTGGGAACCTGGAGTAGAAAAATAAATCCAATTAAACACCATTATCGTATGTGCTGCAAATGAAACTCGTGCTTGGATATGAAATTAAGGCTGCTGAGGCTGTTTGGGATGTAAGGTTTTGAGTTTTCTTACTCAGGGTGTTCTTTTTAAGCAAAATTTCCAATGGAAAAAAATTTCTGATGGAAAACCCAGGGCTCTTTCTTTTTATGATTATTTTTATTATATATCCTTAAATTCCACAGACAAGCAATGCTCATTTTTTTTCATAGCCAGCTCTGTTTACAGCAGGTTTTGAATTAGTGGCACATTAAGGTAAATGATAAAGCAAAGACTACAAGTGAGCAAGGCCCAGATTTCCATACCAAATGCCCCTTCTAATCAGGCTGCCAAGGCCATGCTGCAGAGCTTTAGTCAATCCTTTAAAACACTCTATCCTCTGCCTTTGAAGTTTTTTTTTTTTGGTTTTTTTTTTTAACATTTTACTGCTCCCTGTTCTCCTGAGAGTGTCTCCTGGAACATCCTGGTGTGACATAACTCCTGCAAGGAGGCTTCGGAAGTTTGTGATGCTAAATACTGGGATATCTTCAGTGAACCAGGACATGCTAAGAGGATTTTAAAAAGGGGGAAAGTAGAATTTAAATACGCCAGGCCTCATTTGTTTTCTGAAAACCTCAAGCAGCTTCCTTAATGTGGGCATTCAGAGCAAATATTGGCACTTATCTCAAAGTTTGCTTTTCCTTTGCTCCTCTTCAGAGGAACCTTAGGCCTAAAGTTTTCTTATTAGACTTTTTTTTTTCTTTTCCCCAATGAGTTTATGTTCTGGGTCCCAGTCCTCAGCTCTTAAACAAAACTCTCCTCGGTGACCAGAATCATGTCCTGCTTCCTCTACCTCCCTCAATTTCATTTCTCTGAAGCCTCCATAACACTTGCCTACCCAGTGGGATTTTGAACATTAATTTTAAAAAGAAGATGCTTGGGCATGAAGAGCACTATATTTATAATAAGCATTGCTATCATTAGCTAGCTGCTGTGGAAACAGCCTGCTTTCAGACAAGAGGCTCAGAAGAAGCCTGTTACACTAAATACATGGGACTTGAACTTGATGAGGCTGTTTCCTAGAAGGCTGGTGGAGCCCAGCTGATTCAGCCCTCGGCTGTGTACAGTCATCCCTGGTAAATTTTCCAGCTCTCTTGATTTTGTGGCAGGCCACTCAAAATGCCCTGTAATGTCTCCTGGGAGGATGTCACATCTTCCCATCTTCTGGCCTGCACTGTAACATCACATTATAATGGGATGGCAAAAGGTCAGGATGGCATGATGGGGACCTTTCTGCATCATGAAGAGGCTTTTCAAAGGAGCCTCCACTGGAATGTGAGAATTTGCACATTCCCCAGAAAACATGACAAGGTCAGGGCCAGTGGGGTTTCTGCTGAGCCTCAAAGGCATCTTTTGCGGTTGTGGCACTAGCACCTTCTCAGTCCTTTGTCAGTCCTCACCCTCAGGACTTTGAACAGAGATGTCCCTGTGGTTAGTACTAGGTGTCACACACACACAGTGCAATGTCTTAATCGGACTGACAGGTTTCAAAACCCATCATTCTACTGCCAGGAGTTTGGGGACCAAGGTTTACCACAGATTTATCAGTGGCCTTCTCAAACTGAAATATGGCTAGCTTGAACACACCAGGCATTTTGCTGGGATTTGCTTTGTGTCCCAGTGAGTGGCAGCATCCAAAACCAGCTGGGCTGACTTCCAAGGGCATCATGCAGCAAGCCAGTCTTTGGGACCTGGTCAGACGAAGTGCAGGTACAGTCATCAACAAGATGACAAAATATTTATAGCAGTAGTGTCTATAAAACTGGCGGAGGGGGAGGGAAAGGGAAAATAAGCAGTCCTGTCTTTCTGCCAAAAGGCAAACTGATCGGAGAATGACCCTGGACTGTAGACTGTAGTTTAGTCTGCATTTAGCTGCAGCCTTTACTGTCACTAATGCCTTCATCAGGAGGGTGGGAGCTGGGGGAAGGGAGGAAAGAGATGTTCATTTGGATCTGATGACCAGAGTGGAAAACACAGTTTTGTTTTGATTTGTTTTTTGTTTTGTTTTGKTTTGKTTTGTTTTGTAACACTCTCTCAGCCTTCTTCCCTGCTTCACTCCCATTGAGGTCATAGCTATAAGAACTGAGAAGTCATCTGCTACAGTGGTCACCTCCAGCCATTGCTGCTCCCCTTTCACCAACTCTCGCGAAAGCCCTTAGCAGTTCTGCTCTGCAGACAGCTCTCCTGTGAGCTGGATCTGTTTTGGCAAAAGGTAAACTTTGAATATTTTGAAACTTAGGAGAGGAACATGGAGACCTACATCAGACCATAAAGGGTTAACATATGAGGGGGCTTGCTGACTAGCAAGTAGCATTAGAAGAGCCCACAGGAACCAATCATCTCAGTGCAGTGTGGCCAGTTAAGGAGCCCATCCATCTCTGAAATCCCCTCTCTTCCCACTGAGACCAAAATTTGTTTACCCAGAGGGAGTCCAGGAAAGGGTCAGTGAAAACCCAAGCCTTCACAACCTTTAAAATGATTCATTATTTGGTAGAGGACCTGAGGAAGCTGTAGCGTAAAGAGGTCAAAAAGTCCAAATTTGTCCTACTGTGACACAGAAATAACCAGCAGACAAAAGAAATGGCTGTAGGGACCGATTATAGGAATGCATTTCTGGAGCCATTTGTATGTCAGGTATTTCCCTTAATTCTCAGACATTCAAGAGTACTTCACTGAGTACTCCTCACTGTGTCATTAATGTGTATTTAACTACCAGAGAGAGCGTGCCCCTGTCTTCCCTGAATGCTGGCTAATTTGGGGGCATCAGCATTTGTGGCAGAGCTCAGCTGTGATGCCCACCACTTGGAACAGAAAGCAGAGCTCAAGTCTCGCCTTGCTGCCTGCTGATGGTGTCCAGGCAGATTCCCCCCAAAAGCTCCTTCTCACCTGGTGAGTGCACAAGGGCATGACTCTGCAGGGGGACACTCAGCCAGGCTGAGCTTCTCTTCTTGCTCAGGGTGAGTGTCCCATCACTGCCAGGCTGAGCTTGCTGAGATTTCAGGCCAAGGCAACAGGAAGGACAACAGAGAATGAAGAGGACAGGCAGTGCATTATTTGCTTCCCGCTTCTTCATCAATATTGAGCAAGACACAGCATTTTATCTTATTTTGACCATGGGATTAAAAATGAATAAAATCAAAGCCAGAGGTAATGATAGTGTCATGCAAAAGGGTTAGTGTGGATTTGTTGGTTTTCAGCTGGAAACACCACTTTACAGAAAAGAGAAATGCCCATAATTATTTCTATTTCTAGGGCTACTAACATTGCTTGGTATTTTTTGGATAGCGACAGTTTCTGTTTGCTGATATGGTTTTCCAAAAAAATAAAAACCAGGCTACTTCTTCCTAGAAAAAAAAAAGAAATGAGCTTTCTTACAAGAAAAAGGGAAAGATAGGGAAAGTGAGGGGGGAGAGAGAGAGAGAGAGAGAGAAAGATGGCTTTATTGCTTCATCTGTTTCTGTATTTTTGTTTCATTACTTTTAATTGAGAATGATTTATTCCAAAATGAGCCACAGATTGCATATATTTGCATAACCCTCTCCAGCAGCAATGCTGTGGAGAATCCAGCAAGTGAGGAAGAGCACAAGC